GTTAGTGAAATGTCAGTTAAGAGTGTTAAATCACAGAGAAATCAATTTATGCCATGAGACAATGAGTAAAGTAACGCTGGAGCGTCTCAGGATGGTGGCCTCAGCTAATTGCGAACGATTCGTTACATGGCATTTGGAGTGCCTTGCGTACAAGCCATTAAGTGCCTTAATTAAGTGCCTACTTTTACCGTCTTGAATCATTGCCATACAAGGTGCCCCTAGACACGCAAATTCACGTATTACCGATGAATGATGACTCGGCGTCGATATCTGCGCATCGCGCCGACTCGTCCACACTTCTGGCGACCCTCACCACGCCGTCGGAGACGCTGATCGCAGCGCGTGGTGGCGGTAAAACTTCACCATAACTAAGACTAAAGATCACCAACCTAAACCAGAATTTCTAACAAATGTAATCACATTTCAGTGGCCAGAATCGCAATCTGAAGTTTTGGTTGAATACTTTTAAACATTCCGCAACACGAATTGGGACATTTTGTGCGGAATTAGCCTGTGGTAAATGTCTTTTAACTGAGTTAACAACACGTAAGTTAGGAATCTAGAAAATACGCAATTACCGCAATCTTGATATAGCATTGCGCGGTTACTGGATCCCCTTTTAAATTAAAGGAGAGAAAATGAGCCGAAGCGGCAAAGTAAAGCTGCAAAATTATCGAGCGCTGAAGCGAGACCCTTCGGTCTCCGGTGGACGGTTGTAAACTCCGCAGGGACTGTTAAATGAGAAAAGCACACAACCAGAGGTGGAGGGATGGGGGGTGGGGTACGTACTAGTACCCCTTGGCCCTCGTGGGCGTTCCGCGGTGGACGCGGACTGGCCGTAAAATCGTTAGAGTGATGAGAGCGAGCGCAGATTTCCCTCGGGAGCGTGGTCGTGGTAGTCGACGCTGACGACGACGACGACGACGGCCACGACGCCGTCATGCCTTAACTCCTTCGCTTTACCCTGCTCCCCCCCAATCCCCGCGCCCACCCCGCCCCTTCCACCTTACACCTGGCGCGCGCGCGCGCACTAACTGTAAAGAATAATCTACGCTGAGTGAGTCCCCTGTGGAGGGAGGGAGATGCTCCCTCGCCCTTGCCCGCCTCCCCTCAGTCGCTTTCTTGCGCTGCCTCCCGTGGGAAATCGTGGCTGCCGCTGGAGAGAAAACGCCTCTTCTCTTTCCTCCTTAACACCTCTTTAAGGCGATGCATTTCTCCCTCCATCTTCTGGTCCGGTCTCTATTTACACGCGAACGTACTTGAGAGTTATCGCTGAAAGTTGGTTAGGTGTTACGTCGAAAATTTAACTCTACCGCATCGGGAAAGCCTATTGAACGTTGCCGTTGTATAACATAAAATTGGCTGCATTGGTGTTAAACGCAGATTGCTTTATGTCTTGTCTGCGGTTTTGAACGGTTTTCGCCTTTCTTACCTTCACAATGTACACTACAGACCTCCTCATTTGTGTGCAGTCGGTTCTGACGCTTTAAAACCGCTCCATAGTGGACCAAAGTGCTTCGTTGTGTGCCAACAAAGTTCTTGAGGTTCTTTGGAAATTTGAATAAGTGGAAACCCTTTGTTAAAATCTACGGCTTTCTAGACCTTAATCATCCCCAGAAATCCATATCAAGGTACCGGGAGGAACGGCTCCCTGCTTAGAACTGGTCAACATCAATTGTCTCAAACACGCACCACACTTGCCACTGGGTCGCTAATTTTGCAATAAATCTTTTTGATTCCTTCAGTTATCACCCTGAATGCCCTTGAGTTTAGTTAGCAACTATTTTTCGTAAAAGGAAATCAAGATATCGGGTGTATTTAATCCAAATAATTTGCATTAACAGACAAAAATTCAGTAGGCAGTTATACAGGAACAATTCGATCAAGCCTGAAGCACAAATCACCCAACCAAACTGCAACACTGATGGTGTTGACAGCCTTCCTAATACTCCGATTTCTCTCAACTAAGTTGACCAATCAACTTGAATTTTTGCGTGATCATTCTAAAGTCTTTCCTCTGGGTAAGCGACATATTGCTTGTAGAAAAGCTGAAATATTTGGGTAAATTCCACAAGACGATCCAAGTCAATCCCGTTGAACGTGTGGATCGAGTGCAAGCGAGATGTTTGGCATCGTGTGTAGTACAACATTTTTGTGTATGGTGACTGAGAGATTCTATGTTCCTGTGTGGATCAAACTGTAAACGTTAACGGCTAAATCAGCTCCAGTAATTTGATTGCTTTCGAAGCAGCACGCAGACGCTGAGTATTCAGTTCTCGAAAGGTATCTGCAAGAACGTGTTGATTAAAAGTGATGAGAAAGACTGGCTGCCGCATCTCGTTTTAAAGTCGGATCGACTATGTCGCCCGGAATCAATGGCATCTCCCGATGTCAGTTTAATGACTTTGTTGTGGGCCTCAGCATGTGGTCTTGAATCACGCCGGGGCCACGGAATTCACCCCAGCCCGATTACGCTTCCCTGATACCCACGATGAAGAAAAAGACCCGAGAGTACGTGGACAACCGTTTACTTAAGAGCTCAACCACGTTGGTGTAGCTGTGTCGTGTTTGGGGTTTGCGCGTGTGTATTTATACCTCAGATGCGTGAGCCATCATAGATGCGCCAACATCGAGACCTAGGTGTGAGGATGCTCCAAGATAAATATTCGTGCTAATGAAGGGGGAGTTGAGGATCCGCGCGGCTGGTGACATGTTTCTCTTCTGCCGGAAACTTTGCTGAACGACGCATTCATAAACATTTTTGGTTTAAAAAAAAACACCGAAATCATTGACGAGTAAATATAAACTCCTGAATCGACTTGTGGCCTCCTCAATTGTAGGAGCTGGTGAGAGACCATTAGGCGGTGAGGAGGGTGTGATGGATGAGGACGTCTTGCCAATCGACTTGACGCTACAAAACAAGCCTTGCCACGCGGGCTTCGAATCCGCGACCCCTGCTGGTTTCTTCACCTGTCCGGTGTGCAACAGAAAACAGTCCACAATCGGCCAGTTCGTCGACCACATGTCAGTGCATCGGTTTAAAAAACTGCGACACCTAGAGACGGGTGTTTCGCCGGACAAATCGTGGCTTCTCACGGCACGACCCGCCCTCCTGAACTCCAGTCGTCGGCTGAAGGCGATGCGACGGAGCCGCCGGAGGAATCGAGCGTCGCTTCGAATTGGCCCCAAAGACTCCTCAATCAACACTTGCAACTCGAAGGCAGACAAAAAGACGCCAGATGGTGTCGCGACAGAGGAGGAGGAGGAGGAGACCTTCATGTGTCCGGCCTGTCCGTGGTCTGAACGAATGCGTGGAGTTCAGGCAGCTGTGGTTAGTCCATTTTAAAATGGTTTTTTTGCCAAACGTCCGTTCATGTTTGGGGAGATTTATTTGCAACTAACTTTGCTATTTGCAGTTATCAACTCATTAAAGTCATGCAATTTCATGAAACCTTTATAAAAAATGAGTTCATTTACGATGTGACTTATTATTTCCAAAATTGAGCTCTATGTCTTCAGGTGTGTTTGACGCCAAAACTCGATGTAATTTCTGGATTCTTAAGAGGGTGGTGCTTTAACGCTAATAAACAAAAATATTTTTAATTGAGGTATCAAGTTTCAAGCCTTGGTGTCCAAAAAACCCTATTTCTTACAAACACACTCCAGAAACCTATTTTCGGCCAATGAGATCAAAGTGTCAAGATGACCAATGCGCTGGCCAATAGAATTAGAGGGTATACATGAATAGCTTGTTGTACTCACGAGTTTCAATTGTGCACCAAGGATAATAAATTGTATACATAGGTCAACTTTCTTGAAAGAAATTGAACAAGCGATCATTTGTACTATACAGCCTGGTCCTATTCTCATAGACTAGGTAATTACGAAAATAGGAGCGTGTCAATTGAGTAGAGACTTATATTCATTAAATTAAATTTTATTCCTAGAAATTAACCTGTTAAAGAACGATAAACTAGCGGGATATTGCTGAATAAATCAGAACGTCTGAATACTAATTGTGTTCTCTTAAATGTTCCCCCTTGTTATTCATATTTAGTGGTTAAGTAAATGGCTAATTAGGTTATCGATTAATCTCGACTTTATTTCTTTACTTGAAGGTTCTCTTCGAATTTGATTGGCGGCTTTTTATAGATTAACGTTGAGGACAAATGCCCGACTCCTTTTTGCCCTGTGCTTTGTTTTGTTGGGCATACTGCTTCAATTAATTCCCAAGTTTGGTTTAATTCCATGCAACTTCGCGCAGCTTTAACTCATTGTGTATTATCCACGATTGCCAGTTAAGTGAACAGCCTGAAGGCTTTCGCCAATAGGAATTCAGTAAGTATCGCCACCGTCTCTACTTCGAAATTGTGATTTCGTACACGAAAAGCACCATGTGTACAGTCTACCTAGGCGTTGGCTTCAACAGAGTTGCGCCTACTGAGGATCGTCTCATGATTATTCCTCGTGGTGCATCTTTTAACGTCCAGCCATCGTGACGAATCGATGTTCGCCATTTGAAAGCCGAAATTTGATTACTAACATCATCATTATACGCTTTCTTGCCAGGAGTTGAAGCTGACGATTGTGACTGGTTTGTTAAGTCTTCGTCTTCAAACAGACTTCTTTAGGGTCGGGTTTGCTAGGTGATAACAAGCCCTACGATTACAAAATAGCAGTCTGCACCACCTTAGAGCAACACTTCATGCCATCAGAAGACAACTAACGCTATACTGTCCGTTTGAGTTGAAGACTCCGCTATGTGTAACCGCACTAACTGTCATAGTGGCTGTCTCAAGTCGATCTACTCAAGTGCCTTTAAAGGATTTACCTGGGTAGTAGCATATTTCAGCTCAGTACCTTCAAAAAGAAATTCGGCATTTGTCTAAATTTGCATCAGATTCAAAGTGCCTTGGCATTTCTTCCACTTTTGATGGCCAAGATTGTGTGAAATTTCGTCGAAAAAATTTACATCTCTGCCAACATTGAGGTTTTTTGATGTTTTTCACTTCAAATTTCTACACATGGACACATTAACGATAGACTACAGCACATTTCGAAATTCATTGGTTAAATAAGAAGATCAAATTTCCGCCAAACTGAAAAAACTCAGCCCTAAACATGAAAACAACGAGACAAGAAGTACAGGGAAAAACAGGATTAGATTATCCAAAGAAAATGAGAATCGGTCGAGATTCTAGTCGATGGGCTATGCTTCCAGAAACGTGATTTACTTCAAATAAATGTAAGCCCTTTTATCATTGGTCGCAGCCTACTCATTGGACTACAACTCCTGACAAAGCGCGTTGGTGGATTTTCATTATCGATTAGTGGATTCCAGGAAAAGAAATTCAACGAGCTTTTTGGTTGGAAGTTGGGATGACGCGGGTTTAGATCCAAGATCCACTACCATTGGTCCACACACGTTTCCCCCAAAATCCGACGTTTATCAAATTTTGTAACGAAGACTTTGTAATTATTCTTTCAAATTCGAAAAGCACACCCATTAAATCAATTGGTTTAGTTATTCACTTCCGAATGCAAATCTATGCTCTGAGTTTGACGTTTTAAAGACTACTGGGGAATGATCTCTTGTTCGATTGAATTAATTTTGCCCCGATCTGAATTTGCCCTGTTTTAGAGTCACTTTGAGAACTACCACATGCAGATAGTCGTGGCATGCAACATCTGCGGCATGTGGTTCACCAATCAGACGTTGTTTGCATCGCACGTAGCCGTCGCGCACCTTCGACGCGGCATCAAGACGGACGCCACCTCACCGACGCCGACAAGGTCACTCCAGAGACAGGTGCTGGCGTCGCCGAAGGGCCTCCCTCCCGTGCCCCAACTTATCGATCCGGTGGTCGCCTCCATTCTCTTCAGTGGGTTCCTCCTCTCCTCCCAGTCGACACCACCGTCAGCGCCCACGTCGCCAACGTGGATCCACCAATCAGCTGGGATTTCACCGACCAATGGAAACGCTGCCACAATCTTCAAGGTATCTTCCGGCTCTCTGAAGCTGGGTCAACGAGTAATGCTTTGAATTGCTTCCTCGGAAATATTGACTGCTTTTGACTAAACTGGAATTTCTAAATTAGAGTTGCCACTTTAGCTTCTGGAATTAATCGCCATTTCCTTAAGTACATATCTTAAACTGATGCGTTTATGTGGTTTTAAGATTCCTAGCGGAAAGTTTCAACACGCCAGACACCTGAATGTGTCATTGCCGGAAACATACTGGCCGTTTTTCGAGAACAAAGCTTGCAATTTCGCACTTAGCTGATACTGTTTAAACTGATTTTACAAAATTTGTCTTACATCTTTCCTCTAATCCTGCATGGATTGTAACTCAGGCGAAAATGGCGATCACAAATCCAAAAACAGCCCTAGTTTGCCAACTTTAGATATTTGTAGTTAACACAACAACTTATCCACGGTTCATTCAGGTAAAATTTTTACAAGACAAAGTTGCTTCTTCTCATTTTTTTTTAAATTTTAACGAAATGACTTAATGATTTAACATTTAATCGAACAATAAATAATGGGAAAATTTTTTAACGGGCAATTTTTACAACGGAAATGGTAGGAATCTAAGATATTTTCTAAGTTCTGACACCATTCAACCTACGACGGCTGCTGCTGCTGCTCTGTAGAAACGCAATTTGACATTTGGACGTTCGTTTCATTGGATGTCGTCCATCCATCTAAGAACGGGGCGTTGAAGGCACGATTTAAAGGTGTATTTCCCGTTTGCAGTCAGATGCTGATACAAAGCCTTCAGACGAAGACGTCAAAACAGCAGCTCGTGAGGGAGTTAGTCCGCCATCTGGAATTCCTGCAAAGGCATCAGCGCAACAGGCGCAGACGCGGAATCACCCCACACAACAGCAGTCCCACGTGGTAGAGAGGAACTCTGCTACTGCAACGCCTTTGATGCTGTTTGATCATCCATTACAACGACTCTTGCCTCCTCACGTCGCAGTGGCCCTCGATCGAAGTGCTGTCGCAAAAATTTGCCACTACTGTTTAAAAGTTAGTAACTGGTTATTTTTACGAATTCAGGAACAATGAAGACATCTGTTTCTGATTCTGTTTGAGTAAACTGACAACCCAACTCGATTTCAACGATAGTAATCGTTAGACGTAGAAGGCAAATTATGGGTTGTGCGCAGAATTTAACAAAATCACTGTATTTTTTAACTTAGATGCCTGGTTAATTTCTGAATTATATATTTGATAATTTTTTTTTAAATTAATATTGAAGGATTTTCCCGACGAGATGGCTGTCTTGAAGCACCAGGTGTCCTCACACCAGTTAGACGAAGCCTCGGGAGAAAATTCTGAGTAAGTGACTTCTGTGCTTTTGTGGTGCCGATACAACAAAGTCACGCGAAGGTGTAGATTTTTGCATGTAATTGTGTCTACACCGCAGCGAGATTGAGAATTCTCAGCTCCTAAAATGCGCAATCATTTTCTTTACCTTTGTTAATGACACATTAGCGATTAATCTCACCTAAGTGTCACGGAACCAGCTTAATTTGGTGTTGCAGATTCAGGCTATTTTGATTGGTTAAGCGATAGATTGCTACATCAAGAAATCACAGGGCATCTACTCGCGCTCTTGCGAATTTATACTCAAACGACTCATAAAAACCCTCTTTTTAAGTATATATGCAACACGTTTGCAAAACCATTTATTAAACCTTGATAAAATTATCCAAATTCAAAATATTCATTGCTTAAATCTCTGTATTTTCTGCTCATTTTCAGAAAGTCAAATGAACAAATGCTAACTTCATGATGGTGGCCCTTCAAGAAACAACACTGACTGTGATATGTACAAGACTTCCTTAAATTTTTTTTCAGTAAATTATGTCTTCTAAATTTTGAAAAACAAAAACAAGAATTAAGATGAGAAAAACAGGAGCACTAGGGGAAGAGGTCTGTGATTGGTTGCAGGCGTCACCTTCGCATGTAAATACGCAGGCTCGATAAATTCTGTCGTGATCGGGGAAGTCGACATACTGGCATTGATTTCCAAGATCCTTACCGCTGCAGAATCGCGTTGTCCCCATTATAGCTAAATCCATTAAAAAGAATTAGTAAAATATTAGGCTAAAACAGATTTCTAGGCAAGTACATGCATTGTATCTGCTCAAATGTGTAACTGATTCGAAGTTAAAACATTTGTTACAAACACACCTCCGTATATTGTCGTAGTTTTTATGCAGTACATTGCATCACGTGCATTGCAAAAAGATGGCTGGAGGTTTGTGCTTAAAACATGGGATTTGAACTCGCTGTCAAGGCATCCAGGTGAGACGGAGGAGTTGCAGATATAGCACTGAAGGCATTCGATGGGAGGAGCTGAAATATAATGCATTATTTTCACTTAGAGTAACATGATGTGGTTTTATTCATTTTAATCTGGTGAGAAATAAATGCTTGGAACTTACTAAAGTAGCAAGAATTATAAATACCTAGGCAAACTCAAATGCTGACATAACAATAATCTTCCTTAATACCGGAAAAAATATATACATCTTGAGGTTAACAAAAAATAAACTCATATACACACACACAGAACAGGGAATAAAGAAATACCTGAATTATTTTATTGATAAAAAATTTAACTAAAATAAGGCATACGAAATATGCAGAATTTACATGGCTTAAGGTTTAGAATAAATTTCAGGACTTTACACATAAGGATAAATTATATACATATTTGCACCTTAGAAGCCACTGAATTGGTTGATTTTTGGTTAAGAACAAATACACCTAAGAGTTTAAAAAAGGTTTAAATCTTGGAGGTTACTTTAGAATTCTTTTAAAATTGCTTATCTTTTCTAATAACAAACCCATTAACAGTAATTGCGATTAATTACTGGGAAAAAAGGAAACTGACACAATATCACATACCGTACATCACCAGTAGAGAAAATAAAAGTAACATTGCCGATAACTATACAATTTTGCTTGTGAACTATACGAAGTCATGTATGAAACACCATGCTTTGGAGCTAAATGTCGCGATAGATTCGCTAGAATATCGCGCTATTTATTCAGACATTTCAAACTAAATGTTCAAGGTTTAAACTAGCTCATTTCAAAAATGTATTTAATGACTTTAATTTTCATGCTTTTTGTTATTTTTTGCAACTCTGTATTAAGTTATCATTATTTGAAAATCCTTATGGAGGTATTTTCCATACCATCATCCTAGATGATACGTTAGGATCAAAACGCCATGTCAGAGATGTGGAATCTAGACTGCATGTTGTGAATGGCAACTTTGTTTGAAAGCTATTTCGCGCTTTGCTTACACAAATAGGCTCGCAGAACGTAATTCAGTATAACACAATTCGCTTGGACTTATACATTAGTTGCCAAGTCCACATAACCTGCTAATGAATACGCTCATCAGTCTGCTCGGTAGAGTGGCTCGTTTTGGTTGTTAAAGAGCAAAACAGCAATGTATGTCTCAAGCTAATATCCAACTGCTCTCTTACGTGTGTAGAGAAAATTCAAGCTACACATCTTGGCAACCATTTCCATTCATCACCGCTGAAAATCAAAATATTCACACACTGTGGTCACTGATAACTTGCAGTTGACGCAAACGAACTGGAAGTATTTTAAACCAACACCGGAAAACAGTCAGTTTTTAAGTCTAAGAATTGCAGAAAGAACTATTAATATTCTTTATATTTTTCCAATGAATTTTTGTGTCCTAATTTTTAACGCGAATTTCTGAAAGCGACATAAACTAATATTTACCCCAATTACTGAATTTAATCTTTCAGTTTGCAGTTATGAAGGAATCTCTAGACAACGCAATTGAAATTATTGTCATTTGATTTCCATCAAGATTTAAAAAGACCAGCATACAGCAGTGTACTTCTTAAGTTTAAATGTTACTCTCTCTATTTTTATGTAAAAACAACGCAAATGGAACAGGCGATTTCATGTTATATATATTGCTACTTTCTGTAGTTTGCACAAAGTGGCAAAATTAATGTTAAAGTATGTGGTAAACTAAGATTGTCGAAGCTGATAACAGAATTCCGCCAAATCAGTCGCAAAATTTTCGAAACATTTAAGAAATTAGTAACGATATATTGTTCATAATAATTGTGGTTACAAAGAGGAAGTTGCGATTTTTGTTATATATGCTAAGAAGTCATAAAAAGCATAAGTAAACTCTATTTTCTTCGCCGTGAGTAAGTTGCTTAAGTCATTCGAAAATGAACTCCACTAGGTTTTCAAATTAGCCCGCGTAACGCAGTTAGTGGCTAAAAAATTAGAATAGTTTAAACGATGTGCGCCGGTGAAACATTTAAGCGACAGGAAATAGCTGGCTCTAACTTAACAGAACAGAAAATCCTGAGAAGCTGCTCGAACTTTCTGACGCTAGGACATTTTTAGTAAAAAGGTTCAAGGAAGACACGCGATTTCGAGGTTGCTTATAGGTGAAATGTACGATTAATAACCAGCTGTGATTACAGGAATTTTAGCGCAGAGTAACTTATAATGTCACCTAGTTGGCATGAGATTTCCATTCTGTTGCAATACGCAGACTTTGTGTACTGCGTCAGTCTTATAAAGGGACCGAGCGACAGAATTGTAACGGACAAATATGGCTCCGAGTGTGGCGTTTGCGTTTCTCATGCTAACGAAGACGAAACTGGGATTTGGCTTTAGGTGAAATCTCGTTAACCCCACCTACCCACTTATTCACCCATCCATTCATCCACGCACCCACCCGCCCCCGAACAGACGTGGGCTTAATGACCCAGGCGTGACTCATGCAAGATTGGTGATAGTCCGCATGGGGGCGTTTAGTCTGAGGGGTCATTTCGACAGCCGGCAGTAAAATGTCGGCAACGTGTCGAGAAATGATTTGGCGAAATGTCACATTTAGGGCTGCTTTCTCCACGTTTGTGTCCATTCATGTTAAGAAATTTTAGCAGTTGTAACTTTAGTTTACCCAAATTAGGTTTGAGATAGACCGACTTGAACTCCATCTTTGTCGAACCAAATAAATTCGAAATATTGACAGTGTTGATTTTTATACCGAGGTGGGCTCACGTTGCGTTTCATCTGGGATTTTGGTGGGACGATTTCCTGTGGTCATTCGTCGTTCAATGGACAGCCTAAATGTACAATCACAGAGTTGGCGCATATCTTCTCACTGTCGACTTGTTACGCTAAAACCTTAAGCATTTGGGTTGTGTGCAGTTAAATAAATTCTGATTGGGTCTTGTAATAAACAGTGAACTCACGCTATGCGGTTCGAGGTCACAGGTCGTAAAATTCGGGATGTTGGTTACTGGTTATCGCCACAGCAAATACCGCTGACCCGGAGAGTTGACTCAAGAATCTGGTTGAACGGATCGCTGCACGTCTCGACTTCCGTGACTTGGTAGCCTATTTCTTGAGTTAATTTTGTCATCATTAATGAAACACAATACATAAGGGTTCTGACGGCAGCCTAAAGTAGATCCGAGCCATTTGAACCAAAATTAGAATGCTTTGGAAGGGGTCAATTTAATGCCGAGTACTATCTTTTCAACAGCCAAAAGTAATTAAAGCGTAAATCCATCCTGCTTTGCCATCAGATCATAAAAGGAGGCCTCCTCTATACAGGCGCCTACCTCACACCTACTCCTCAGTTCGTGTTATCGCATTTCCGACTTGACCAAAGGCAGTTACGCTGCATGTCGACAAATTACATCAAAGACGGGCAGCGTACGATGGTACATCACTACACCACCACGTGTACCACCAAAGTATTTAGTTCAAATGTTGCATGCAATCGTCCCGACGAGAAGGACAATTTAAAATATTCCTCACTTTGTTTCTGCTGCACACTATCTAACCGATGGTGCATTCTTGCCACTCTTCAGAGAATCTTTT